GCCCCTCTCCACTCAGGCTCCGGAGGGACCCACCCAAAAAAAAACAACGCTCGGGGGTTGTCCTGGGGTTCTCCGGACACCCCATGCTCCAGGAAGGGAACACCATGAAACAACATAATCTCAGGCATTTTCCCTTAATGTTTTCCGGATCTTCGTGGTTTCTCTGGCCACCCCAGGCTCCGTGAAAGAAAACCGCAGAACAACAAAACAAACATTGTTCACTGAATGTTTCGGGCGTTCGCTGGCAAGACCAGGCTTCACGGAGGGAAACCTCAACAACAAACAAACTCGAGGGGAGGGGCAATATTTTCCGCTGATAGCTCGGTCACCCCAGGTCCCAGGGAGATTGGGAGGAGAAGGACTGGAAGAACCCCCAGAAAAACAATGAAAAAACACCGATCGAAACCGTAGAGAAACTCCCGAATGGGGGGCTGCTGGGCGGGTTCGGGGAACTGCTACACCCTACTGCCTGCGGCGACGGATGCGACGACGCGAATGCCGATGCGAGAAATCAAAGGAACGCAGAGGGCCTCTTCATCCGTCTCCTCCCCAGCCCCCTCACTCTCTTCTCTCGCCTCTCCCTCCTCCCCCTCCCCGTTCCCTTTTGGGGAAGCCGAAAGGAACCGATACTGCTACTCCCCGGACCTCTCCCTGCGTTCTGACCCGAATTTCGAAGCGAATCCAGCGGCTGCGACGAGGGCCTCCCAGGCGCCGCCCCAAAGGGGAAATCGAAGGAATGGTAGCGGTATGAGCACCTTGCTCCTCCTCCACCTCCTCCTCATCCTGTCATTTCTATCTTTATTATTATCATCATTATTATTATCATTAGTATGATTTTTCTTCGTCTTCTTTATATTATTACTTTTTGGATAATATGATTTCTCTTCCTCTTATTATTCTTCATATCCCTCTTCTTCCCCTCCTCCTCACTCCTCCCCCCTCCCTCCTCCATCCTCCCTCCTCCCTCATCCCTCCCTTCTCCTCCCTCCTCCCTCCGCCCTCCTCCTCCTCCTCCTCCTCCTCCTCCTCCTAGAGGCTCGGTCACAAGGGCCGCGCCGTGTCTTGGCCACGACCGCGCCCCCTCGGTGGGCCGATCCTCCTCCTCCTCCTCCTCCTCCTCCGCCTTCTCCTCCTCTTCCTCTTCTTCCTCCTCCTCCTCCTTTCCTCCATTCCTTTTCCCAAAACATAACCTTCTCCCTGTCGCAACCCGAAGCCAGTTTTTAGGGCGGGTCGGGCGTTTCGCCTGAGAGTTCCTCACCAACGTCTCAACGGGTTCACAGATGGAGGGGGGGTCGTTTTCAACATGTGGCTCTCGCCTTAGCGCCGCGCACATTCGTTCCAACGTTGCAGGAGATTCACGGATTGAGGGCGGGTCGTTTTTCAAAATGTTGCTCTCGCCTCAGCGAGGCGCACATCCGTTTCTTCTTTACAAGAACAATGACAAGAGTTTCACGGATTGAGGGCAAGTGGTTATCAACATGCGCCGCGCACATTCCTTTTTAACATTTGCAAGGATTTCACGGATTGAGGGCGGGATGTTTTCAAAATGTTGCTCTCGCCTTAGCGCCGCGCACATTCGTTCTATGTTTTTTGGACTTGCACGGGCTTCACGGATTGAGGGCGGCTCCTTTTCAAAATGTGGTTCTAGCCTCAGCGCCGCGCACATTCGTTCTAGAACCTTGCAATGCAAGAGCTTCACGAATTGAGGGCGGCTCCTTTAAAAAACGTGGCTCTCGTCTCAGCGCCGCGCGCATTCGTTTCAAATACCTGCAAGGAGTTTCACTGATGGAAGGCGGTTCCTCTCCAAAATGTAGCTTTCGCCTCAGCGCCGCGCACGCTCGCTCTACATATTTGCAGGCGGTCACGGGTTCCCATGCTCAGCATACCAAAAATGGCGTTTTTGAAGGATTCAGGATTATGCGGGCGCAGCAGTTACGGCAGGTTCGCGTCGTGTCGACCCCAGCGATGGTTTCTGTCACCTCGGGGATCGTTCAACCTTGAACGATCGGCACTTTCCGAGACGTGCGATCCTTCAACATCGACCCATTCTGGGTCGCCGGCGGCGTTCAATTCTTGAACGCCCACGCTGGAGTCGCCGCCGGTCGACACGACACGAACCTACCGTACGTTGAGTCTTCGTGTCGACGTCCCGAGCATGACGTTCTCGCACGAATGCGGATCGTCAAGACGCAGCAGTCAGGTTGATCCGTGGCGTTGAAATTCAGCTAGGGCTCCCAACTTCGCGCTTCGCGCTGCGCGAAGCGCGAAGCGCGAATAACTTCGCGCTCTCGCGCCGCCCTCCCAAAGGGAGAATAGGAGGACGAGGAGGAGGGGGAAAAGGAACGAGGACCGCGAAGCGCGAAGCGCGAATAACTTCGCGCCCTCGAGGGAGCCCTTGATTCAGAGAACATTTGTTTGGCATGCTTCAGGATCTTCATACGGCTGTCCTCCAACGAGGCACTTGGTCCAACTGAGAACCCTTTACTCCGCCCCGCCTGACACATTGCGGGGGGGCGACCCTGGGGGGAACTGGAAATGAACCCTTGCAGGGCCTACGAACAGGGAACTTGGAGGGAAGACTCATCCCAACTTCGTTGATAACTCTTGGGTTTACACTGGTCCTCCTCCTCCTCCTCCTCCTCCTCCTCCTCCTCCGCCTCCTTCTCTGCCTCCGCCTCTGCCTCCGCCTCCGCCTCCGCCTTCTTCTCCTCCTCCTCTTCCTCCTCCTCCTCCTCCTCCTCCTCCGCCTCCGCCTCCGCCTCCGCCTCCGCCTCCTCCTCCTCCGCCTCCGCCTCCTCCTCCTCCTCCTCCCTCTAGTGTGGTGTTCCCCTCCCCCTCCTGCAGGCACACAGGAGCGCGCGGCGCGCGCCACCCGAGGGCGGGGGCGGGGGGGGGGGGGAGAGGGGGCGCGGGGGAGGAACGATAGGGGAGCCACCGGCTCGGAGGGGAGGTATCGACACGACACAGGCGACTCCGGAAACCCACACACGCGGAAGCCCCCGGGCCTTCCGAGAAGTCCTCTGAGACTCCCGCGGAGGCACAGCGACCTCTTCACAAGGCGCGGGGGCTTCTGAGAAGCCCCGCCGCCCCCGGGGAGGGCCTTCTCGCCTTCTCCTTCTATGAAGGGGAACTGGAACACACAAATAAATACACACAAATAAAAAAGATTCCCCATATTTTCCTATATTTTCTGGGTTTCTGTCTTCCCCCCCACTTCCCATATTTTCCCATATTTTCTTGGGATCGACGATTAATTGTGTCTGTGTGTTTCTTCCCCTCCTGATTCTACACCCGTCCCCCTCGCCCGCCGCCGAGCTTAGGGGCGCACGCCTTACCCTCCGCCAGCGTCGGCAGGAGGATGCGGCCTCGTTTCGCTTCCGCGGGCGCCCGCCGCCCTTCCGCCGCCTGCCGCCGAGGAGGAGATCGCGGCTCCTTCGGTCCTCGGCGGCGGGGCCCTGCCTGGAACGCCTCGCGCTGCAGCGGGAATACGTCGCCAAGAGATCGGCGGTAGGCGCCCGATCGCAGATCCGCACATTCTTGCGCCGGCTGGGCTGAGTATATCACTATGGCGCCCCAGAGCAAGGCAAGCTGCTGGCTGACAACCTTGGATTGAATCACAAAGTTTGAAGTAACTTTGAAAGTATTGTGAAATCGCGAAGCGGGCGAAGTATGACTGTGAGTGTGCCTGGATCTGGCAGTTTGCCCAGATTTGACGTTTCAAACACATGTGAAACATACGCCACGCTCTGGAAATTCGAGAAAGTTTGAAACATATAGAAACATAGTTGAGGATCTGGAAATTTGACAACAAAGAGCAGCATGTGAACACATTGTAACAATAACTATGCCCGGACTTCGAAGTTTGCAACGCTTAAATCAATGTGACATCGGATGCTTTAAAACATATGCCCGGATTTGGAAATTTGGCAAGAAAGTAAAAACGTTCGTCCGGATTGGGGAACTTGAAAACAATTTTAAACCAACAAATGACAAACAAATGTAACACCATTGGAAAATAGATTCGGACTTTTCCGTACTTGATTCACACATCCAAATTTTACACTGTCCTTCACTCGTACTTCCGCTGTGCTTTGATTTCGCTGGCTTGGCATACTTCGAATATCCCGCGCCTGGTCACCGGTTTGCTTGCCAAGGGCGACATAAAGGGTATCAGGATGGGCAATTGGAGGACGAGGCATCCTCCCCCTGCGCCTATCCACGTCGGTGGATTTCGGGCCATAACGCTAGCCTCCGGCGGCAGTTCGGGACGTTCCAGGCCCCCCGGAACGCTCTCGGCGAGGCGCAGCTGCTGAAGACACCCTGGGGCTGGAAAGCCTACGAGAACCGACGAAGACGCCTGAGAATTTCAAGCCTCGAACATCGAATGGGGCAGTCAGAGGGGGCGGGCCTTCTCAAAAGGCTCGGAAGGCCTCCGGCCTTCTGAGAAATGGTTTTTCGAAGCCTTCCCCGAAGACATACAGTGCGGGCGCGGCCGCAAGAAACCCTCGCAAAAAACCCAACCCTGAGAACCCGTGCGCGAGGTGCACCTGAGGGGAAACCTGGAGCACCCTGAACGCAGCAGCTCCTTCAACGGCTGCGGGACGTCACCGCGCAGCGCGAGGAGCGAAGAAACCCAGAATACCCTGACGAAAAGCATATAGTTTCTTGATGCGCGCCCCCACTGTATATACCTCTGAGAAGCCCCGGCGCCTTCTGAGAAGGTCAGCCCCTTCCACTCCCCCCCCTGGGCGCGCTGGAGAATCGAACCTCAACACCCCTGAGCCCATCCCCCCGTACTGTTGCCCAGGAGGAGGGGAGAGAAGAGAAGGAGGAGGAGGAGGAGTGGGAGGAGGAGGACGAGGAGGAGGAGGAGGCGGCGAGGAGGGAGGGCTGAGGAGGGGGAGGGAGAAGGAGAGGAGGAGGAGGAGGAGGAGGAGGAGGAGGAGGAGGAGGAGGAGGAAGGAGGAAGGAGGGACGAGGGGGGGCACGGGACGTCCGTCCTCCGTGCGGAGCGGAGGCCGCGGCCGCGAGCCCAGCTTCCGCCGGGCGGCAGGTGCCGGTGGGCTGGCCATGGACTCCTCGGAGGGACGGCGACGACGGTCGAGGACGTCGTTCGACGACGACGAAGCTAGGGCTCCCAACTTCGCGCTTCGCGCTGCGCGAAGCGCGAATAACTTCGCGCTCTCGCGCCGCCCTCCCAAAGGGAGAATAGGAGGACGAGGAGGAGGGGGAGAAGGAACGAGGACCGCGAAGCGCGAAGCGCGAATAACTTCGCGCCCTCGAGGGAGCCCTTGGTCGAGGACGTCGTTCGACGACGACGAAGACGGCAGCGGCGGCGGCGGCGCCGCCGACGACGACGAAGAGAACGGCGGCGGCGGCGGCGGCGGCGGTGGGCGGCGACGTTGTCGGCAGCGGATTGGGAGATCGGACCATCTCTTCGTCAGAGGGAGGAGAACAGCCAGAAGGGGAACGGAGGAGAGGAAGGAAGATGATGGAAGGATGCGGAGACGGAGACGTGTCAGAGGAAGACGGAAGACGCGGAAACATGACTGCGCGGTCGCCGTCGTCGTCGTCGTGATCGTCGTCGTCGGCGTTCTCCTCCTCCTCCCTGCCTCTTCCTTCTCAGTCCCCCTTCCTGCCCCCCTTCCCCCTTCCTGCCCCCCTTCCCCGCCTACTACTGCCAGCGCGCGGAAGCGGGGCGAGGAAAGCGACATGAGAAAGGAGTGAGGAGGGAGGACAGGGGCGAGAGAGGACACAGCAGCAGGAGGATCAGGAAAGCAAGCAGACAAGATGACGAAGGCATGGGGGACGCTGGAAATTACATGGAGCGGGGAATGGACCCCCTCGCGATGCGAGTGGAAACGACACGCCGAAGTACGAGGGCCCCGCTCGGTTCGAGGATGAATTATTGTACCGTTGCCAATTACGAAGGAGGAGGAAGAGGCGCCAGGAATCGGATGAGAGGAGGCAGGGGGAGGAGAAGGAAAAGGAGAAGAGAAAGGGGAAATGCAAGGGAGGGAAGAGCAAACGAACTCGCAGAGACAGGGGAGGACACAAGGGAGATAAAAGGAGGGACAGACTGGGACAGAGGCGGAGGCAGACCTCCTCTCGGTCCTCTTCTTTTTGATCCTTGATTGCTTCCACCTCCCTGATTGGGCCGCACTGGCTCATGGGGGCGGAACACTTGCCTGCAGGATCAGTCAACACCCAATCGGCAGATCGGCTCGGCTCGCACTGAGCGTCGGATCGGGCTGCATCGGCACGGAGCCGGAATCGCGTCGGACCGGCCGCGCCAGGCTGCACAGCAGCGCCGCGCGAGCATCGTGCCGCATCGGATCGTCCCACTACCGGAATCGGCTCGGACCAGGGCGGCCGGAACCGGCATCGCACCGGAGTGCTCGGATCGAGGCGGACCCTGGGACCTCGGGAGCACAGGGGGTGGGGGAGGGCGCTGGGCTTTGGCGACAGAGGCTCGAGCCGAGGCCAACGGGCGAGTTTGGAAATCTCTGGGCCATCTCGTCGCAGGAGAGCCCGGAATCGACTCGATCGAATCGGCGGACATCGGCAGGCTAGTAGGCCTGCCGATGTCCGCCGATTCGAGGAGGAGGAGGAGGAGGAGGAGGAGGAGGAGGAGGAGGAGGGGGAGGAGGAGGAGGAGGAGGAGAAGGAGGAATCGGCATCCAAGAATCGAATCGGAATCGGTCGGAGGCCACCGAAATCGAACGGAATCGGGTCGGAGGAGTCGAACTGAGCCCGGCGGCGGCACGGCCAGATCTGCCGCGCAATTCTGGCCAGGACGCACCCCAAAACAGGCCAGGGGGTCGATTCCGAGTACGGCAGGTTTGCGCGGCGTCGGCGCGCGCAGAGGTTTTTGACACCGCGTCGATCGTTCCACCTTGAATCGATCGCGGCCCCGATCGTTCAAGGTTGAATTCCGTCGGGTCCAGTGGCGTTACAGTGTCCATCGGTGCTTCCGCGTGGCAGAATTCAACCATGAACGCCTTCGCCGGCGTCGTCGGCGCGCCAACGCCGCATGAACCTACCGTACCTGGACCCTGGACCTCCTCTCGTCGTGAGAAAAAACATCGCGGCGGAAGACGTTTCCCGAGCTTCCGAAGGAGGTGGTCCCGAGGAGCGTGCAAAGGCTTGCGGGGCCCCAAGTCCACTCGAAGTCGGTCCTCCTCCTCCTCCTCCTCCCCTCCTCCTCCTCCTCCTCCTCCTCCTCCTCCTCCTCCTCCTCCTCCTCCTCCTCCTCCTCCTCCTCCCCCTCCCCCCCTCATCTTCCTCCCGCTCCTCCTCCTCCTCCTCCTCCTCGTCCTCCTCCTCCTGACCCTTCCCAAGGCCCAGTCTGACCCACGTGTGTGCGAGGTGGGTCCCACCGTGGCGACGAGAAGCCTCGAGGAGTCCCTCGAATCAACATGAACTTGGGCGTGCAACGGCAGCGAAATATCACGGAATACCTCTTCGATGAGCTTGAGGCGGGGCGACAGACGATGTCCACTGGAGCTCTGGACCCCGCCTCCGAGACCGTGCTCTACTCGTCCAGGGCTCCAGAGGATATTTTCTGCGAGTCGAAGCTAAGTGTCTGGCCGAAAGATGCTTTCCAGCGTCGAGAATGCTGAGAAATTGGTGATCAACTGTGCCTTGTGTGCCTGTGCGTGCCAAGCAGCATGTGATGGCAGAGACGTAACAGAATGGGAGCAAGCGATTAAAACATCTTTTCGGGGCGGACATATTTTTTTTGAAGTTTCGCGGGCCCTTAGCGCCGCCGCCATAACGGGGGGGCTGGGCAAGCAGACGGAGAGCGGACAATCCCCGGTTGTTCTGAAGCCCGTGGGTGGGGGGGCGCGGGCTGACAATTCAGGGCGGGGGGGCGGGGGTCAATTCAGAGCGAGACAAGCAAAAACTGAGAAGGACTTCGCGGGCTGACGATTCGAATCCGCAGGGAAACTTCAGATCCGCCAGTCCTGCGCGGAAGGCAGACATTCTGCGCCGCCTTCAGACAGCGACCTCCTTCCCCACCTCTTCCCAGTCTCCTCCCCCTCCTCCTCCTCTTCCTCCTCCTCCTCCTCCTCCTCCTCCTCCTCCGCCTCCTTCCCCTCGTTGTTCGATCCCTGTGTCACCTTCTCCCTGCAAAATACTGTTCCTCTGCAGTTATTCGATATGAATACGAATCCCCGTTCTCCCCTGATGCACTCCAGAAGATTGCCTGCACCCCTCCGCCTATGGCGTTTTTTGTTGCACACAGGTTTGGCGCGGATCCGTTTCTCATATATGTTGTTTCAATCAGAACGTGGTCGGCTCCAAAATGTTGTTCCCGCTGTAACGCTGGCCTCTTGTTCGAGCTTCCAATCGGTTCGAATCCTCCCGCGTGCTGTGTTCTAACACAGAAGATTGGGGGAATGCGTTGCTGATATATGTTGTTCAATCCGAATGTGTTCAGTTCTTCCGACACGCTGCTCCCGCGGCAGCGTTGGCCTCATTATCAAGCTCCATCCGCCGTCCGCGAAGACAACAGTTGGGCCGTCCTCAGGTTGGTTCTTAAGTCGGAGGAAAAAACAACTACATAAGCATAAACTTTTGGCGATCCTCCGTGGATTTCCTGGATCTGCGAAGGGACTCCCTAGCGGCGCTTCTGGTGCCCCCTCTCTGCAATCCTCCTCCCGCGGCCGCGGGTGATCAAACGAACGCAGGAGGACGAATAGAAAATCAATTTCCGCAAGGCAGCAACATGAAACGCTGGGGTGGGCAGACGATTAAAGAAACAGTTTCTGGCGGCTGAGTTCTATTAGTCTGCCCCGCTCATTCATTTTGGGGCCCCCGGCACGGTGGGGGAGCAGTTTCTGAATCGTTTGCCCCCCTTATACGCTCTACTCGTCGAGCATTGTTTTTGTAGCTGCCCAAAAACCCGAAAAGGGCCTTCACAGAGCACCGACCTGAGCAAATAGAAGTCGTCTATGATTAAGGCTCTCTTGCGCCGAAGTCTGGGCCCTGCGCCCTGCTTCCTCAAAAACCCGCACCTCGGCCTCTTTGGCTGCGCGCAGAGGCGGGTAGGGGGAGGGCCGGGGGGAAGGCTTCTTGATTAGAAGGAGGAGGCTGCTTCTTAGAAGGCGCCAGCCTTACATCTGCAAACAAGGCACGCACCTTCTACTAAGTAGGGGTGCTTCCTACGAAGCCTTCCCCCCTCCCCCCTCCCCCATACACCCCTCTGCGCGCGGCCGACCTGTCCTGAGATGAGCTCTCTGGCCAGAGCCTCGAGGCACATCCAGCCGCCGCCGCGAGGACGAGTTCCCCAGAGGAGGCGGGGGAGGAGGAGGAGGAGGAAGAGGAGGAGGAGGAGGAGGAGGAGGAGGAGGAGGAGGAGGAGGAGGAGGAGGAGGAGGAGGAGGCGGAGGAGGAGGAAGAGGAGGAGGAGGAGGAGGAGGAGGAGGAGGAGGAGGAGGAGGAGGAGGAGGAGGAGGAGGAGATGCCCAGAAGAAACGCGCAGCGAGCGGCATTCCTGCGGCAGAAGACCCTGCACGGCTATACGCAGTTACGCGATGGGGGGCCACAACTGGGGGCCACGATGGGGCGACCACGATGGGGGGCCACGATTGGCCACCGATGTCAATGAAGGGGCCCCAGGACACACACATAAATACATACAAATAGGAAGATTCCCCATATTTCCCCACATGCTTCGTGGGGTTCTGGTTTTCTTCCCTGCCGCGCCGCACCCGCGACACTCACTCACTCACTCACTCACACACACACACACCTCACTCTTCGTACAGCACAGCTCAGCACAGCACATCACAGCACAGCACAGCACAGCTCAGCACAGCACACAGCTCAGCTCAGCACGCAGCACAGCACAGCTCAGCACAGCCCAGCACGGCTCAGCTCAGCACAGCACAGCTCGTGGCATTTTCTCGGCACCGTGAGCAGAGGGGGGGTCTCTCGCCGCCGTCTCTATACGCGCCAGTCTTCCACAGGCATGGCATATTCTCAACACCATAGGGGGTGCGCAGGGGGTGGTTTCTCACCGCGGTCTCTATACGCCCCGGTCGTCCAGGCACAGCAGGCGTGGCACTTTCTCGACACCATAGGGGGTGCGGAGGGGGTGGTTTCTCACCGCGGCCTCTATACGCCCCGGTCGTCCAGGCACAGCAGGCGTGGCACCTTCTCGACACCATAAGGGGTGCGCAAGGGGGTGGTCTCTCACCGCGGTCTCTATACGCCCCAGTCGTCCAGGCACAGCAGGCGTGGCACTTTCTCGACACCTTAGGGGGTGCGCAGGGGGTGGTCTCTCACCGCGGTTTCTATACGCCCCGGTCGTCCAGGGCACACCAGGCATGGCATTTTCTCGACACCATAGGGGCTGCGGGGGGGGTGTTTTTTCACCGCGGTCTCTATACGCCCCGGTCGTCCAGGCACAGCAGGCGTGGCACTTTCTCGACACCATAGGGGGTGCGCAAGGGGGTGCTCTCTCGCCGCCGTCTGTATACGCGCCAGTCTTCCAGGGCACACCAGGCATGGCATATTCTCGACACCGTAGGGGGTGCGCAGGGGGTGGTTTCTCACCGCGGTCTCTATACGCCCCGGTCGTCCAGGCACAGCAGGCGTGGCACTTTCTCGACACCGTAAGGGGTGCGCAAGGGCTGGTCTATCACCGCGGTCTCTATACGCCGCAGTCGTCCAGGCACAGCAGGCGTGGCACTTTCTCGACACCGTAGGGGGTGCGCAGGGGGTGGTCTCTCACCGCGGTTTCTATACGCCCCGGTCGTCCAGGCACAGCACGCGTGGCACTTTCTCGACACCATAGGGGGTGCGTAGGGGGTGGTCTCTCACCGCGGCCTGTATACGCCCCGGTCGGCACAGCACGCGTGGCACTTCCTCGACACCATAAAGGGGGTTGTCCCTCAGCGCGACCGCTATGCGCCTTTGTCGTCCCGGGCACAGCATGCGTGGGACTGTCTCGACATTATAAGGGGTGCGCAGGGGGTGGTCTCTCACCGCGGCCGCTATCCGTGACGGTCGTCCAGGGCACAGCAGGCATGGCATATGTTCGACACCATAGGGGGTGCGCAGGGGGTGGTCTCTCACCGCGGCCGCTATCCGTGACGGTCGTCCAGGGCACAGCAGGCATGGCATATTCTCGACACCATGAGGGGGTGCGCAGGGGGTGGTCTCTCACCGCGGCCACTATCCGTGACGGTCGTCCAGGGCACAGCGGTATCGGCGGGGCAACGGCCACGAACATCATTCTCACATGCTTCACTTCAGCTCTCATCACTCCAGCCATAATATAAGTATGTGGGGTTCCTCGGTAGCGTAATTTCCCACATGTTCGGGGTTTTCGTCTTCCCCCCCACTGCCCATATTTTCCCATATTTTCTGGGGAATCGACGATTAATGGTGTCTGTGTGATTTTTCCCCTCCTGAGTCAAAGGGCCCAATGAAACACCAGCTGTTCAGGGGGAGATCATCCGTGCCTGACATCTGTCCACCTATTTGTTTCAATCCGCGGCCCCGGGGAGCTTCCGCCCCCCCTTCCAGGGGTAGTGTTTCGCCCCGGCTCCATGTTCGGTGCCATCCCGGGCCCGAAAGCGGCCCTCGGAGGCACAGATACAAAGAAAATGCCCGGACCGAAAAAATCACACCGCCAGAGATCTGGGATACTCGATCTTCTCCCAAAGTCCGTTCTGACCAGGACTTCGAGGCGAATCTGGATGTGACGACAAGAGACGGCCAGCGGTATTCGGCACATGTTCCTCCCCTGAGCTTAAAGAGAATCGTCGATATATACTCGATCCACCCCCGCAGTTGTGAGGGGAAACGTCAAAGGGGACCAGCCCATGGGGGGACACGCAATACATCGCCGATAGATCGGCGACAAGCCACCGATCGCGAATCCGTACACGCCAGAGTGGGCCAGGCAATCAGGCCCCGGTGGCTTTCGGGCCATAGCTCTAGCCTCCGGCGGCCGGTCGGGACGATCCGGGTCCCCCCAGGACGCTCTCCGCGAGGCGCAGCTTCTGAAGGCACCCCGAGGCCAGACAGCCCACGAGAACCGACGAAAACGTCAGAGCCCATGGTGGGCTTGTTTTCCGCCACCACCACCACCTGAAGTAGGAGGGGGAGGGGGTCCTCCTCCTCTTCCTCTTCCTCCTCCTCATCCTCCACCTTCGGGAGCGGCAAAGAGGGGGGTGTCCAAGAGGGGGGGGGTGCAAATCATGACCAGCGGCATGTGCGCGGCCCAACGGGGGGGCCAGGGACATAATGAACTAAGAAGAGGCACCATGAAATCTGGGGAAATATCATGCCCCCCACCATGATATCCACCCCCCCCTAGTCATCACCCCCCTCTTTTCCGCCCCCGACACCTCCTGCCCCCCCCAACTCATGGTGGTGGTGGCGGAAAACAGGCCCATCAGCCCATCCACCCCCTGACGTCTCTCCCGAAGGTCAGGAAACCCCCAAAGGGCCGCGCAGAGACCGGCCAGCCGCCTTGCTCAAGGACTTCATGTCGGCGCGCACCTGCTGCCGCCACACGGTCTGCGGTTCCCGCCGCGGGCGCGGGAGCGCACGCGCGAAGTCAGAGACTGAGGCGATTCGTGGTCGTTGTCGTCGACGTCGTTGTCCTGTTCGTCGTCGTTCGCTGCCGTTCGTCGTCGTTCGTCGCCAATGATTCATCGTGTTCCCAGTCCTGTGTCGTCGTACTGTGCGTCGTCGTTTCTCGTCGTCGTTCGTCGCCGATCGTCGTCACAGTGTTCGTCGTCCTGGTCGTCGTGTTCGCCGTCGACGTGCTCGTCGGGTGTGCGTGAAGTCAGAAAGGGAGAAGGGTCTTCGTCGTCGTCGTTCGTCGCCGTTCGTCGTCATGTTGTTCGTCGTCAGTCAGAGACGGAGGCGGTATCGTCGTCGTCGTCGTCGCGTGTCGATGGTCGTCGTCGCAATCGTGGTCGTCATGTTCGACGTCGTTCGTCGTCGTCGTCAGCGCTCTCCTCATCCCTCCTGCCTCGTCCTCCTTCGTTCTTCTCCTCCTGCCCATGTCAGCGCGCTGGGAGTAAGGGGGGAAGAGGAAAGGGGCACGAAGGAGGGAGCGGGGAGGAAAGGGACGAGAGCTATGAGGTAGTAGGAGGAGCAGGAAAGCGAGGAGGAAAGACAGGACGACGGAGGGAAGGAGGAAGTAGGGAATGCAGTGGATTGGAGCGAACCCCTTCGCAATACCGGAGAACATGGCATCCCGAACTGCGAGGGACCTGCTCGGTTCGAGGATCAACCCAGGCATCTTGCCCATTGCGAGGGGTGGAGAGGAGAAGCTCGAGGACACGCAGGAGGGGGGGAGGAGAAGGAAGGCAGAGGATGAGAGGAGGGAGGAGGAGAAGAAAGGGAGGAGAAAAGTCGGAAGGCACAAAAAATGAAGAAGAGAAAAAGAAATCACAGAGAAACGAAGGGACTCCACGCGGGACGGAGGCGGACGCGGACCCCCGCCTGGACCTCGTCTTCTTGACCCTAAATTTCCTCCGCATCCAAGATCTGGGGAGGAAGAGGATGGCACTGACTTATCATATGGGAACAAAGATGACATGCAAGATCAATCAATACCGAATCGGGAAATCGGATTGGTTCGGAATGTGCGCCGGATCGGGCCGCATCACAACACGGAATCGAAGCAGATCGGCGGCAACGGCGCCACACAAGATTCGGGCCGCATATCGAGACCGAATCGAATCGAGCCGGTCGGGGCCGATATCGAATCGGATCGACCCGATCGAAGCGGACCCTGAACGGGGGGCGAACAGGAAGTAGAGGCTCGTAGGGGAAGGGCTCGGGGAAAAGTTAATGACAGAAAGAAGAAACTGTCAGAGACCAGCGCGGATTTCTCGGATCGGCGCTGGAGTCCCCTGGCGGCGCGCTCCGCGCGCTAGGGAGGGGGGTCCAGCGCCGATCCAAGATACGTAGCATCCCGCAGTGGCGGATAAGATTGAGGGGGCGGCGGGGACGTCTGTAGTCTGCGAGGCTTTGAAAAAACCCGCCGCAGGCGCCTGATCTTTACAAATTGCACCACGGGCCCGCCGCAGGCGCCAGCTTTTCGTTAAAGCAATGTGGGTGGGTCGCGGGTGGGTCGCGGATAGGTCGCGGGCGGGTGGGTCGCAGGCGGGTCGCGGGCCGGGTCGCGGGTGGGTCGCCGGTGAGTCGCGGGTGGGTCGCGGGTGGGTCGCGGGTGGGTCACGGGGGGTGGGGTCGCGGAGGGGTGTGGGTCGCGGGGGGGGTCGCGGGGGGATCGCAAATTGGTCGCCGGGTGGGTCGCCGGGTGGGTCGCGGGTGGGTCGAGGGTGGGTCGCGGGTGGGTCGCGGAATGGATCGCGGGTGGGTCGCGGGTCGGGTCGCGGGGGGGACGACGCCAAGCAACAACAACAACAACAATTACAACAACAACAACAACAACAACAACAACAACAACAACAATAACAACAACAACAACAACAACAGCAATAACAACAGCAACGACAACAACGGCAACAACAACAACCACAACAACCACAACAACAACAACAACAATCATTTAAGACTGGGGACACTCCGTTCTCACCAGTGCCAGGGTTTTCACAGGAGGCGGGCAATACCCCCACTTTGTGGGGGGGCCGGTTCAAGCTCTACCAAGTTTCCAAACGACTCTTCGCCACCACCCACACCCAGCTTCCCGCCCTATGACGTTCGGACACTTCACTTCGTGGCCTGCGGACGACCTTGGCTACTACACTGGCGCATGGGTACAGTGACTTGTTGTGGTAACATTTTGTGGAAGCTAGCTTAGTATACGACTTTTCCCCCTGCAATTGAAGATTTCGGCGTGCGCGCGCGAAGAAAAAACGAATGTGTCCCATATGGTATTATTTGACAGGGATGATGGCCCTGGCAGGTGCGCAACCGTTGTTGCAGAAGTTCGAAGCACGTGAAGTTGCTCGCAAAAGCCCGTTTGACAGAAATGTTTAAAAAGTGTTGGGTTTCCTACGAATCCGCAAGAGCGCGCGGGATGAGATTTTGACATTTTTTTTTGAAAAACCATTGGTTTTTTGATGTTTTTATGTTAAAATCGCTCCGAACACTAAGCTTTTGGAAGGATTTCGTCTTGCGCGCGCGAATGTCCACTTTACCTTATTTTTTGGCAAGGGATTCTTGAAATTTGATTATATTAGAACAAGAAATGTCATTTTATAGTGTTTTTTGCAAGGGAAAACGGATTACAACAAAAACCGGATCTGGATCACATGTACCTGAGACTTCCTCACAAAATGATGAAAATGGCTGCGGCCTAGGCGCGGCGAGGGGGGCGTGCACCAGGGGGCCCAACAATAATTTTTCTTTAGAAGTAATAAATTCAACAACAACAACACACTGGGGGGGGACACTCTCACACAGTGCCAGGGTTTTCATAGGAGGCGGGCAATACCCCCACTTTGTGGGGGGGCCGGTTCAAGCTCTACCAAATTTCCAAACGACTCTTCGCCACCACCCACACCCAGCTTCCCGCCCTATGACGTTCGGACACTTCACTTCGTGGCATGCGGACGACCGTGGCTACTATTCAGGGCCCCGCGGCCGACGACGACGGCGTGCGCGCGCGAAGAAAAAACGAATGTGTCCCGCATGGTATTATTTGACAGGGATGATGGCCCTGGCAGGTGCGCAACCGTTGTTGCAGAAGTTCGAAAAAGTTGCTCGCAAAAGCCCGTTTGACAGAAATGATTAAAAAGTGTTGGGTTTCCTACGAATCCGCAAGAGCGCGCGGGATGAAATTTTGACATTTTTTTTGAAAAACCATTGGTTTTTTATGTTTTTATGTTAAAATCGCTACGAAAACTAAGGTTTTGGAAGGATTTCGTCTTGCGCGCGCGAATGTCCACTTTACCTTATTTTTTGCAAGGGATTCTTGAAGTTTGGTTATGTTAGAACAAGAAATGTCCACTTTAGCTTATTTTTTGCAAGGGAAAACCGATCGTAACAACACAACCGGATCCGGACTCCCCCGTTTTGCCTGAGACTTCCTCACGAAAATGATGAAAATGAGGCTGCGGCCTAGGCGCGGCGGGGGGGCCATGCACCAGGGGTCCCAACAATAATTATTCTTTAGAAGTAATAATGTTCAACAACAACAACAACAACAACAACAACAACAACAACAACAACAACAACAACAACACCAACGACAACAACAACAACAACAACAACAACAACAACAACAACAACAACAACACCAACACCAACAACAACAACAACAACAACAATTACTAGCACGTGGGGACACTCCGTTCTCACCAGTGCCAGGGTTTTCATAGGAGGCGGGCAATACCCCCACTTTGTGGGGGGGCCGGTTCAAGCTCTACCAAATTTCCAAACGACTCTTCGCCACCACCCACACCCAGCTTCCCGCCCTATGACGTTCGGACACTTCACTTCGTGGCATGCGGACGACCGTGGCTACTATTCAGGGCCCCGCGGCCGACGACGACGGCGTGCGCGCGCGAAGAAAAAACGAATGTGTCCCGCATGGTATTATTTGACAGGGATGATGGCCCTGGCAGGTGCGCAACCGTTGTTGCAGAAGTTCGAAAAAGTTGCTCGCAAAAGCCCTTTTTGACAGAAATGTTAAAAAAGTGTTGGGTTTCCTACGAATCCGCAAGAGCGCGCGGGATAGAATTGTCACAACTTTTTTTTGAAAAACCATTGGGTTTTGATGTTTTTATGTTAAAATCGCTACGAAAACTAAGGTTTTGGAAGGATTTCGTCTTGCGCGCGCGAATGTGCACTTTGTGCCATTTTTTGCAATGGATTCCTGAAGTTTGGTTATGTTAGAACAAGAAATGTCATTTTATATTGTTTTTTGCAAGGGAAAGCGGGGGGGAACAAAACAACCGGATCTGGATCACATCGTTTTGTCAAGGGCTTTCGCTCGAAAATGATGAAAATGTGGCTGCGGCCTAGGCGCGGCGGGGGGGCCGTGCACCAGGGGCCCCAACAATAATTATTCTTTAGAAGTAATAATGTTCAACAACAACAACAACAACCACAACAACACAACAACAACAACAACAACAACAACAACAACAACAGCAATCATTTTAAGGCTGTTCGCCCTTATCTGCGCGATTTCCCAAACCCTCGATACCCGCCATTTTCGTCTTCGATCGAACCCCTTTTGGGGGGTATACCTTTCTTCCCTGCAGGCCGGGCCCTGGCAAGCGGCGGGGCGGCCGCGGACCGTCGGCCTGGCCAGCGGAAGCGCTGATCGGCGGGGCGGCCGCGGACCGTCGACCCGACCCCAAGAGGGACGCACAGGGGACCGACCACGACGACGACGACGACGACGACGACGACGACGACGACGTCGACGACGACGGCAACGACGGCGACGGACGACGACGAGCGAAAGCGAGAGCGAGAGAGAACGACAGCAGAGCCACGAAGGACACGAAGTAGGCCACGAAGGGCGACAGCGGGGACACGAAGGGAATGCGTATGGGGCCACGAAGAGCGCGAACGAGCGTGGGCCA